TAACAATTAATGTATTTATCATACATAATCTTGCAAGGAAATTTTCTGAAATGTTAGGTCTCATACCAAACACTGCTGATGTCCCTTAAGAAATGATGTACATAGTTTCAATTTTTTTTTCAAAAATCCTAAGTTCAATAATTTTCCAATCAACACATCATGGTCTACCTTATAAAAACCTTTACAAAAATCAATTTGCATATAACTAGTTGAATTTGTGAGGCGAGATCTTTTGCTCTCTCATGTTATTTTTCACTCAATGAAGGACTTATGAAATTGTAAATGTTTTTGTTCATAGGGCTCTCTACCTTCAATTATGTAATTTGTTGGGCCCGACAGATTTTTGTTTCAAAGATTTGATGGAAGTCATTTCTTTATCTTTGAAATCGCTAATATATAAATTTCCATAACATTTTTGGCAAAATTAAATTGATTTATATGATATTCTGATTGTGTGGTCAACTACCAATGCCTCAAAAAATCTGCAATATTTGACATAACGTAATATTTTGTAATTTTTCTTAATTGCTATTAATACTCCTCCTCCCTTACTCTTATTAGTTAGTATCAAATCTCTATCGGCTCTGAGTATGTTATATAGTTCCGCGTCAACAATCTCCCCATCACTTATTTCATCTTGCAACCACGTCTCTACTGCTAGGATGACATCAAACTCATCGTCAAGTGATCTACTATGAAAATCAAGTAATTTTGTATTAAGTCCCCTACAGTTCTGGTAGTATACGTTCATGGTATAGGCCACTTGCTGAAAAACTAGGTACGCTATGAGCTCTCATAAAAAGAAATTCAGTAATTCTGAATAAAAAAATGAATTATGGATTATATATTATNTGGCATTTACAACACTGTTTCTCACATATTTCATATGACATTGACAACCAGACAACTTTGATTTGACATATGTCGAGCGATGTAAACTTCCTCTAAAAATTACGTAAATATAAAATATTCCAAAAAATCCCCAATTCCCAAGAGAGAGACTGGTACCGTTATAAAGAAACAGGAAAACAGATTCAGTTAAAGGTAAATCACTGCAATTTCTTTTGAAGATATCAATATATATATTTAAAATGAACTCATTTGAAAATATAAAAATTACTTATTAATAGACTGAAACTCTTTCAGATGCTTCGTACCGCTCTAGTTCCTTGCAAAGAGGCAGTCGCTTCTTCCAATATACTTCGGAACTTGTCTGGCAGTTTTGGCACAGTTCAAATCCTAAATAGAAATCAGTCCACACAATCTGCCCCAGCTGAAAGGCCTTACTCCCCACATCAGGTACCCAAAACTAATTTGGCCGAATATGCTCTTGCTCGTGTAGATGACTTGCTGAATTGGGGAAGAAAGGGGTCTATGTGGCCCCTTACATTCGGTTTGGCATGCTGTGCTGTTGAAATGATGCACATTGCTGCTCCACGATATGATATGGATAGGTGAGAATTGTTTTTGCTGTGCTGCTTGCATTTCTTGAGAAAATTCATCAATACTGATAATTTGCATAGCTATTTCATCAAGAACAGAAATATTTTTAGAATAACTGACTAAACAGAATCAATATAAAAACAATAATTTACACTAAAACAAAAACACTAAAAGAAAAAACTAATTGATGCATCTGTTTACATAATAAATATACCACAAGAAGACCCATGGGACATTCAAGGGCTTCAAAGTGGTTGAAACATTTATTTAGCATGAAACGAATATTTATTCTTGATTTTGCAGTACCTGCATTCTTTGCTATAATTGACCACTATTGATTTTTTTTTTCAGCTGTTATTTTTCATTCTGTTTCAATTGAAGGCATTTCTGGAATAGGAACTCAGAAACAAGGATCATTTGTCAAAATGCTTGTGAAAATTGGTAATATTATGGTGATATGAGCACTTTGTTACTAAGGAGCTTTCATTTTTAATATTGAGAGGAAGTGTGTTTCCTTCAGAACAAAGCCAAACATTCTCCAAATCCCTTTGTAAAAGATGTACGTCAGAAATATCTTCAATCCTTTTGAATACCTTTAAATCATCTGTAAATAAATTATAGACAAAGAAATTAAAAATTAATGTATTTATTATACATAATCTTGCAAGGAAATTTTCTGAAATGTTACGTCTCATACCAAACACTGCTGATGTCCCTTAAGAAATGATGTACATAGTTTCAATTTTTTTTTCAAAAATCCTAAGTTCAATAATTTTCCAATCAACACATCATGGTCTACCTTATAAAAACCTTTACAAAAATCAATTTGCATATAACTAGTTGAATTTGTGAGGCGAGATCTTTTGCTCTCTCATGTTATTTTTCACTCAATGAAATATGTTTTGAGGTAATACNTTGAAATTTGATGAAAAACTCATTATCTTCAACCTCAAAATACCAGTGTTATATATAATTTGACAATTAATAACAAAACTCGTTTGCCATCTCGAATTTCTGAATTCCAACAGAAAAATAACTATCTTCGAACCTTAAAGCCAGTCTTCCATAAAGCCCGACCAGATATCACAAAACTAGTCCGCCCTCTTGAATTTCCGAAATTCAATAGAAAAAAATCACGCCTAGAGACTACAAAATACCAATTTTAAATCGAATCGGTCCATAATCACAATACTCGTCAGACATCTTGAAGCCGCCATCTTGAATTCATTAATTTTAACTAAAGATTCATAATGTGCGACCACGAAAACCCCATTGTACCAAATATGAATCATATCACAAAGATGTATATATGCAGAGGTTTCTCTCTGATAAAAACCCCGACAAAAAGTGCACAATTGAATGTTGTTAGTATTTCATTAATTTGATTCATTGTACTGAAGTACATAATTATAATTTAGAACTATTACTAAGTATGATATAATGTCCGATAACATTTATTCTCGTTTCGTGAATTGGGATAGAACTGGTAAATCACTTGTTTCCGTAGTTTTTTGAAAGAATGGAATCAATAATATCAATGTGGACTGTTAAAAAATAAGGTGAAAGTTCAAATTTCGCGGGCTAAGTACATTCCATTAGCAATTTTTTTATGTTATTATACGTGTCTCGTACATATCTCAAATACAGTTTCAGCTTTTCAGCATGTTTAGTTTGTTGGTGAGAGGCATGAAAGTTAAAAGTGTTTCGAGGGTTCTTGATAGCAGAAGGTTGAGAAGATGTGAATGACGACACTCATTCTGTACGTCTCAATACACCAACAACCGATGAAAATGTTGATATAAAGTTTTTGAGCAAATCTGGATCGCCGTTTACGTCATTCAACAATTATTGAGCAATGCTCACGC